CCTTGGGTGGGCCCAGAAAAAAAAAATTGGGCCCAAAAAATTTTTTGGGCCAAACAAGGCATTCAGGCCCCAAAAAGTGGGCCTTTTTGGTCATTACTGGGCCTTTTAAGGCCTTATTTGTTAATTTCAGGCCAAATTTTGAAGAAAATGGGCCTCAAAATTTCAAAATTTGGGCCCACTTTTGGATTTTAGGGGCCCAAAATTTTTTTCCGCGCAAGCGCGGACGTTTTTTCTCTGCCCTGAAATTTGGGCCCCCCCCCCTTGTTGGTTCCTGGATCCGCCCCTGGTTTTCATAACGAGCATCTCAAAAAGTCAATTTGATAAGAGATAGGTCTATAACATACGTACTATATATGAGCCTATTTTATTCTAGACAAACACATTTGGATCAACTAAACATGCTACAATTCAAGAAAGAACAAATGGCATCCCTTTGACCTTTATTTATTACAGTCCGAGAAGATCTTTCCTGACGAAAAGCCCACATAATGAAACACCTTGTACGTTTGGTTATAAGCATAAGTATACGTTATAAGTTGTACTTTCACGCCGTGCGAAATCTCTCTACTAATGTAAAGTTCAAACGTATAATGTAAGTTAATCATCCACTCAAAATCTAAATTAATGAGTAGAGCAATATTACAGTAGCGACTGAACCTATTTTCAGCGTGGCGTTTTACATAATGTTACACAATATTTCCAAATGTTAATTTCGACTAATTATGTGCTCTGAGGCTCTGTCATGGGACTAAACTGTTGAATGTTTCTGTAGAAGACATCGTAGTTCAAATATCAGTAGATCATTCGCACATTCGTGTATCTGGAGAGTGCAACTTGTCAAGTGGTCATTATGTACAGAGCAGATGTATGTAATCGAGGGACCATAAAAGTATGTCATTAAATCATTGAATGAAAATAGTGTAATAACTGAGACCACCGTTACCCAACAATTATAGTGATCAGTCGCCTATTAGTAGCATTAAGCTATTATTAAAAATGCGTATATGCTTATATCTACGCCTAATGTAAAAGAAAGTGATGCTCGTGTTATAACAAGTGATCATGATATTAAATTTTCCCAATACACATTTCGAACATGTACTAACTTAAGATGGTATTTTGAAATTTGCAAAGTATGGATAATTTATATTTTGAAAACAAAATTCAATATGTTAAAGTTCATCCTCCTATCTCAGCTGCACATCTTCTTTACCCTGCGTGCAGAGTCTAGTTAAACGAAGCTATCTTTTAAGAAGTGAAGTCAAACGAATGCAAAGGGTACATCTTCTTTGCTAACTTTATACATCACGGGGCGATGCGCGCCATATGTCTAGTGTAAACCATCGTCCACGAGGCAATAATAGTGAAAATGGCAAAGTCTACCACAATATCAAACGTTTAAAGGCAATTGTATTTTAAGAATTTCGTTTACACACTTTGGAATATAGTATAAATTCATTTTTGTCTATATTTGTGACAACACGTTTTACTTGTTTTATGTTCATTTTCGTAATCAAATCATTTGCCATTCTTCTTTTATTAATTGCGTCGATGCACTTACAGTATATATCATAAACCCTATTCACGTCTACCGTTTCTTTACCCTTTCTCTTTATTAGCAATCTGTATATCACGGCAATAAGATAAAATTGGAATTTATCCGTCGGCCTAGTATTAATTTCTTGCAAATTGTTCGACAAATATTCGAAAGATGTTACATGTTTCTTGCTGGCTTTTGTTAGTCTCCTTCTAGTTTTTTTCACATTTAATTCCTTTTTTGGTTTACCATTGTTACAATTTTTTGAAGGGCAAGCACACGATTGTTGACATTTAGCATTTTTTGAAGAACATGGGCATCTTCTACCTACACAGCATAAGATTTCTTTTCCACTTCTTATTCGGTTGACACCACACCTTTTTTACTACCTCGATCTTTCTTAGTTACAGAGCGTGCCAAAGAATTTGCGTTTCTTTGAATCAAACTGCCATAATGACCATGCTGAGCCCGCATTACTTAAGGAATTCATGTTTGAGACGGACCCTAATTTCAATTTGAAAATTCGCCAATTTCCCTTGGAGTTTACTTAAATGCCTTGGGTAACGAATGTACAATTGTATACAGATATATACTATATGTCTATTTGAAAAAACATTTTAGAATTTTTTTCACTTTTTAACAAAATCTATTTCACACCAAGGAGGATTGGCTCCCAGAATCGAAGTCGATATTTTCCAACAATGAAAACGCCGAAATGTCGTTATTTTCTGAAATTATAACCGATTATAAATTCAAAATAAACAGTTCAAAATATTCGAACCAATATCTCGATCATTTCTTGTGAGTTTTGGAATTTTTCGTTGGGAAATAAGACCAAAATTCACGATTCAAATGTTGAAGTGAACAAAATGGCGGTCGTTAGAATTCAAATTTTGTAGCACGACATACCCATATATGGGGCAGAATATCGATGTTGCACTCTGGGAGCCAATCCTCCTTGATTTCACACTTAAGTGGCTTTGAGTGTGAAGTGTATGGGAGTTATGTAAATACATGTGAAGTATGTACCCCGATTACCCCGCCAGCCACGGTACGTATAGTAGGATGGAGTGTATGGTAGATGGGTAAATGTGAGAGTATCTACCCCGTTTACCCCACCAACCACGGTACGTAATATAGTAGGATGAAGTGTATAGGAGATATGTAAATACATGTGAAGTATGTACCCCGTTTACCCCGCCAGCCACGGTACGTATAGTAGGATGAAGTGTATGGGAGATGGGTAAATACATGTGAGAGTATCTACCCCGTTTACCCCACCAACCACGGTACGTAATATAGTAGGATGAAGTGTATAGGAGATATGTAAATACATGTGAAGTATGTACCCCGTTTACCCCGCCAGCCACGGTACGTACAGGTATAGTAGGATGAAGTGTATAGGGGATATGTAAATACATGTGAAGTATGTACCCCGTTTACCCCGCCAGCCACGGTACGTATAGTAGGATGAAGTGTATAGGAGATATGTAAATACATGTGAAGTATGTACCCCGTTTACCCCGCCAGCCACGGTACGTATAGTAGGATGAAGTGTATAGGAGATATGTAAATACATGTCAGAGTATCTACCCCGTTTACCCCGCCAAGCACGGTACTTACATGACTTATAGTAGGATGAAGTGTATAGGAGATATGTAAATACATGTGAAGTATGTACCCCGTTTACCCCGCCAGCCACGATACGTATAATAGGATGAAGTGTATAGGAGATATGTAATTACATGTCAGAGTATCTACCCCGTTTACCCCGCCAACCACGGTACGTAATATAGTAGGATGAAGTGTATAGGAGATATGTAAATGCATGAGTATGTACCCCCGTTTCCCCGTACCCCCGTTTACCCCACCAATCTGTGCGAAGATGTGAAACAGGGGAATTAGGGCGAATTAGTAAGTACTTCATGCACGTGTAGAGGAGAATACACAGGCAAAACGGATGTGGGCGAGATTCGCGCATGTAAGGGAGTTAGTACTACGTATACGTGCGCACGTGTGGAGGAGATTTCACAGGCATAACTGATGTGGACGAGATTTGTTGAATTTTCGTGACTGCTTGCATCGGTCACGATGTGTATAGGTACCTGACACATGTTGGACATTGAGCTTAGAGACAAATGGTGTGTCATAGTGTTCGTGGAATTACACAAGAGGAAACTACATATGAATTGATGTGGCTTGCATGTGAAATGTAGAAATAAAGTTTGAGTGTATGTAATGAGAATTCCCAAATTTGTAGTGGACACAAGGAGAATTTCCATGGGTGTCCTAAATGGGAAAATGCTCTAAGTGTCGTGACTGCTTACATAGAACCTCTACCGAAACGGTTCGTTATGGTAACAAAATGTAGGAACATCGAAGGTACGATGTTTTTCCTTATTTCACACGTTTTAGGCAGAATTCCCACGACATTTATATCACAAACGTGTTAAACTTAAGATGGTATTCCAGTAAATGAAAAAGACGAGTGCGCATATTTTTGTGCGCATGTTTACAAAGACTGATCTATGGAAATTGTCGCTAAACCAAATGCCATTAAATAATGCAAACATACTTTGAATTGCATATTCCTATATTGATTATAGTATACACTAGTCAAACATTCAGTTTGAGTAATATCTTCCGAGATTTTATCGACGATAAGCCCAATTTAATGTCGTAAACTACCTTGTGCCGCTTTACGTCATAACAACAACAACAACAATAACATCCGGTCCGCCCACCATCTTGAGATGATTCGCAACAAGATACGACTGCCCAAAAAAAAGATGGCAGAGTTGTTTGTATTACATGATATTGAAGTGTCGCCATCTTTTAAACCAATAGTAATTTAAAACATGCACTTTGATTAACATGTGCATGAATGTCTAATGATCTCTGAACTTCAAATGCTTCTTTCTATGTGAGTTGCTTTTATCTTGGTTCAATATAAAAGCAAATCAAACTTTGTGTCATATTTGAGCTAGTGTGTGAGTAACATGTTTCAATGATTTTTTTTCTTCTACATTAAGTATAGTGGGCCTTTAAGTTACATAAACGGTATTTCAAAAAACAGTTAAGATCTGCACTTTTAACCCAAAACAAGCATTGTAACCACGCCTAACCATCGACAATGTCAGTGACAAAATATATCGTCGTACACTTAGATGTACGGTGTCACTATTCTTCCTGATATGAAGCAAAAACTATGATGTGGGTGTGATGTAGGTTTTGAAAATTAATCTGAGGAATACTTTGGAAGACATTTACCTTTCTAATTACGTGAAAAGATTTTCCTTTGGTCATTTTTCCCCTGTCGCCTAAGAGTGTCGATTATTTTTATGAGAATATGTTTCACTGATGGTAGACATCTTGCGAAATGGAGTAAGTACACAGAGACAAGAAAAATTGTGAAGGTGTTGTTTATAATGAATTGCAAAATAGAGTACAGTATTCCACTTACTGCCAGCAAATATGCCCGCTCCGATAAATGTTGCTGAGTGAATCACATGCATCTGATGGGCGAAAGCTGCTCCTGAACTGAGCCCAGCCACAGATATCTGATTCCGGTCTATATTGTACCCCTCTGAAACATACTGTTAACTGTAAACAGTATATTGAACAGCTTAGCAATATTCTTTGAACAAACTATGGGCTTTGCCCATGAACAAACTCACCACTATCTCACATTTGGAAAAATCAAAATGTAATTTTAAGTAATTGGTACTTTTTCAATATCCTCCCTTGTCAAATTTGCTCCGATTTTCAACACCGGCGCCCTGCCGATTAGTATTTTGTTCAAAATTGCATCCAGACTTGAATAAAATAAATACTCATCTGCCGGGCGCCGTTGTTGAGGATCGGAGAAAAATCACATTTTTCAAAATTATTGGTTGCACTTGTGATCCTTTAAATATATGATGTATTACCAAGTCTTCTAGTCATCTGAGCATCTGTCGTTGTCCATAAAAGGAGAAATAGTAAGAAAAAGTGATTCATTATTTTCTCTTTTTAATCGTATATTTTCAATTTGCTAAAACCGTAGATTGATGAAAGTAAATTACATTATTTTTTTGTACCCAGAAAACAGCTGTTTGTACTTTAGTATGAGGTCTTATCAAGATAACACACAGCTAACCTTGAGTCAAAGCGAACGAGTCACCCGCACTTTATAAGGCCTTCACATTCAAGATGGCGGACGGACGTGTCGGTTTCGATATTTGTAGTATTTTCGTCGAATCATGGGCTTTCAAGAGATCTATTGAAAGCCCATGGTCGAATTGATCCATTTAGTAGTTGACATTAGGCTTTGATATTTGTGCCACATCAGGCTAGGAATATCCTATGGTTTTGAAAAATACCGTTTATATCCATGAGTGAATATTGACATCTTCATGAGTGAGCACAGTGAATGAGTGAAGATATTGATATCCATCAGTTGATATAATTGATATTTTTGAAAATCCATAGGATTGCCAGTTTATCCGATGGGAAATCATCGTCAGCGAAAAAAAGTTTGGTTTAAGAATATGTTGCTAAAATATGATCTTCATCCACATATCAAATATATCTTCATCTGATCATTCATTCGATCTATATCCTTGCAACCAAGGGATAATATGATATAAGTAACTCCGTCATATGATAATTTTTAATGTTCCATTGGGTGTGAACGAGACAATCCAGCCATATCTTCCACCGCCTGAGAGATGGTAACACGGATTTTTCCTTTTGCCAATGATGAGAAGTAACAGAGAATGAAAAATCAATAGACCTGACACACAGACACGCTGTTTTAAGACTAGCACTATATTTTTGTATGCCCGCGGTGCTAGTGAATTACGTAATGACTTTGTTCACAGTTTATAGAAGGCGTGCATACAGTCATGTTCGAATTCTCATTCTTAAACCTCTTGGTGATGAAAGGGTTAATATCTAATTGTGCATTTAAAAATTTGAATGGAGGTTAGATTCTTAAAGCTGACACTCTCAGCCTTTCAGGGGTGGGGGTATTGGAACCTTAGTACAGAAGGGGAAATTCAAAAATCACCAAGGGGCGCCCTTAGAGGCTCTATTTTGCTCAAGTATAGCTACAGCCTCTATATATAGGCCTATTCCTGGCTATTGGTCCATTTGTCCACTCGGCTCAATAAGACCCCTATTTATATCTGAGTATTTGTACACACCAATTTTGTTTTGATGCACTAATTAAGTTCTTAAAAAGCAAAACATTTATATCAATCAATGTCTATAGGGACTAGCTGTCTTTTCTTTGGTCCATGGTAAGACATCACACATTGTGTGACATTTGTCAACAAACACAAGGCAGTTGCAAACGCTGAGCAGAGCCACATCACTGACTGTGCCCCATGATACTGCAATATATAACCACTCCCCCATTCCATTATAGAACATCCTACGCCACTCCCTATGTTAAATATCATAATCACTGAACCAGTCACTTCCATGTACCTCTCCGGCCATCCCATCCCAGACGCCCATATTGAGGCAAAGAAGAAATCAAAGACACCACCGAGAATCGCAAAGTTCATACGACTTTTTAACGCCAGTGCAACTGCAATGAAGTTGACTATAGCGATAGCATGGCATATCACGAACACGATAAACGGCATCGGAACAAACTTTGAGACTGGAATTACTATAAAATTTCCTAAAATCGCAGATCCTCTTGCGGCAAACTGCATGAGTGAAGCTTCCTGTTTTGTTGCATTTAAGGTCTCGGTGGCTATTGAAGCTTGTAGTAATAGAAAATGTGAACCACATGCCCCGTTGATTGAGAAGTACAGGAACATACACGTCATCAAGATTACACCGTATCTCGTATTTCCATTGGTGAAAGAACCCGGATGTAATAATTCCTTTAAATTCCTTCCTTTAGGTACATTCGTGAATACCAGTCCTCGGGGCCGTGGTGCTAAATACACCACCAAATACCCAAATGATGCCAATGCGCCTAATCCTCCCATTATCACATATGGCACCTCGATGTTGGATGTAGATGTGAGTTCAGTCTCGATGTTGTTAGGTACGGTTGCATTGGCGTAGAGAGCTTCCCCGCGGGTAGCGCTAAGAAAAGGGTACGCAAGAGCAGGCGCTAGTAACGACCCGATCCTACATCCAAAGTGCATGGCCTGTAATGGGGCCGGTGTATTTCCTCCCCATATGGCTATCATCATCCCATTGCCAGCTGGAAAACAAATTCACGTGAAATAGCAAGCTAATATTGGTAATTACGCCAGAAATTAACATTTCATTCTTTGAAGAGATTTTACAAAATATTGAATCCGCCATTTTGTTTTGATCATTTTAACAATCGGCGATGATTTTTGTTTCTATATACATTTCCATTGTAGTTTTGGTCATCTTTGAACTCTGGAGGTTTCCTTCCTCTTACGCCCCTTTTTAGGTGGCTGTTCCAGGTACTGACAATAACCGTTGATATGTTGACATATCAATTACCTATTGCAAATAGACCATGAGATAAACCTTCAAGCCAGTAAAGAAATGCGAGGGATACGATACCTCTACACCAGGGCTTGAAAGCAACAGAAACTGCCAACAGCAAAAATCCCGAAGATAACTGAAGATCCCAAAATTTCCGGAATCGATCGAACAGGATACCTATAGAAAAATCAAAAATTTACGATGGATACACTTCAAATACGATATGTGTCAATTAAGATTGAATATATGCCAAACATTCGCTCGACAGTTCAGGTTCGCGTTCAGATTTAACTAAATATTCTTTAAACTACATTTGTAAAGGGACAATTTCCAATTTAATGTATGAAACAATGTAAGGATAGGTCTTAAAAAGCTAGCTTGACAAACATAGACACGGATATTCGTTGAAGGTACTATAAACATGTCGCACCCTGGACTCACCTCCAACTAAACACCCAATTATATATCCAATATTCCTCACCGCTGTGGCTCTAGTCAACTCTTCGACACTACTGCCAGTCCTCTCGCAAAGATCAGGAAATGTCGGATATTTAATCGTCAATACCAAACCCTGTCAAATATATAAGTAATATGTACATGTATGTAAATGGAGGATTAACCCTGACATGCCTGGGGGGGGGGGGGGGTACAAGAGGCCTCAACAATTAAGTTCTTTGAAACATTTCTAAAGGCATCTAGCAGGATGTTCACATTCTCAATAGGTGGAGCTAGAGATATAACAAATGTATTCTGAAAAAATCATCGGAATTGTACATAGGCTAATTAATTTATTTTGATGTAGCCATCAGCTCCAAGAGATAAAATCAAAAATAGCTAGCACTAAGTATAGTGGTCTTTAAAATAAAATCGCAATCGCAATTGAAAATTGGATGAAATATATTGTGGGAAGGTTAAAACATCCTGGATTTACCAATAACATTTTTACAATGAAGTGGGAGTCCTTTTACCCCCTGCCCATTGGGGCTTCGTTTGATATGAGAGATTTTCATTATACGTAGCGCTATCGGTAAGAACGTTAGAAAAAGTTTAAATCCCGAGGGAGTGAGTTCGAAACTTGACATAATCTATATTATACTTTCATTTTTAACCATCCACAATACATTTTCTCGATCTGTTTTTATATACTGTAACACACCCACGTTGATCTATCAAAACATTTTTTGGGCAATATGAGTCATTATATACAATGGAATAACAATATTTTCCCACTGATTCATAATATTCAAAGTTATATTATTTTTTTCTCAAGATCCGGACGGCAAATTTCCATTAATATTTAAAAAATACTATTTGTAACCTATAGTATGATCACATTTTTTTAAAGAGAATGCATATGAATTGTGCAATATTTTCATTTAAAATGCATTTTCTCGTTGAAACCAATAATAAATTTAAATATTTTTTATAGAAATAACCAAACGGTTTCTAATTTTCACATATTTGTTGTACATCAGTAAACCCTTTATCCAGATCTTTTCAAGAAAATCTGAATTGTACTGTAGAAAAGAAGTTGATACACTGTGAAGTTCTACCTTAGGTTATATATATACGACATAAGCTAAGGCACCTCCTGTCAATTAGGCTCTAGGGCACTTATCCAAGTCAAATCGTTAAAGATTTATATAGATTCAGATTATACTCAAATAGGGCATTTACGTATAACATATAATAGACGACATCGGGGCAATACAGTATTAAAGGTAAAAAAGGATGCCATGGTTCCAGGTCATTAGAACAACATTTGCAAGGGTAGAGATTTGTAAGGGCAGTCGCAATCTGCATAAATCTGCAAGAATTGACTCGAAATACCAATAGTTGACAACTGGCTTGAATTATTTTGCAACCGTATCCCCCACTTCAAAATTTTTACCTCCGTACTTTTTAACAATGGGGTGACCCAGTTTGTATGCCAAAATGTTTATTGTTTTATTTTTCTATATATAATAGACTAGCACACTTTAAACTCGTGGTTCTGTATTCCGGTTAAATCACGTAAGCAAAGGCCAGCATTATGAACTCAAGTTCTAAAAGTATGTCACCTCGTGTAAGATAATGCCAATTGTGTAATACGATAAAAAATTGGATAAGGATCGTACTAACTTATAAACGCTGTTATATACTTGAAAACTTATTACCTTACGAATAGAAAGCGCAAGATGTTATGACGTACTTAAGTATTACACAAAAGCTATACGTATAAGTATAAGGAATCTTATAAGGGGGGGGGGGGGCAATTACGTATAACGAAAATTCTCTAATCTTTACCTTAGGACGTATAGTGTTAAAAAGTACCGTATGAAAATATACATTCGTTCTGTCATGAACGAGTAAAGACCTACAGAGTACATGATTCATATTCACAGAGATTGACATTATATTATAGTTGTCCAGGGGATGAGTTGTCAAGGGATGAGTTGTCTAGGGATGAGTTGTGTAGGGATGAGTCGTCCAATTTTTTATGAGATGTTTGATTATTAATGGTAAATTGTCATTCTGGTATGCCAGAGCCCCTCTTATCTGCCGTTTGCGAGAACTTTGGAAGGATAAAAACAAAGGGGGCGCGGCTATCGCGATGACTTTGGAAGGATAAAGACAAAGGGCGCGGCTATCGCGATGGTAAATTGTTCATGTGTCCGATATTAGCCGTTTTTCCTAGAAAATGATTTTATTTGATCATCAATAGCACATTTATTATGTTTACTAAATCCGCTACAATCTTTGATAAGTGGTGTATTGAGCGGCTATTCATCAGGACTGAATCAAGAGGTATTCTCCTCCAGATATTCCAAAGTGACTTTTGCACGTTGACTGAAAGAGCCCTTCGCTCTTGCAGATGTTCCTTTTGAAGAACATTAAGTCCTGATGAATAGCTACCAAATACAAGAGATGACAACCCCAGTAACTATCACACATCTATTTTATTCTTGGTTCTTATATTTTTGGTTATTTAAGGTTGGTCAAGGAGTCTCGTCTTGCCTTAGGTAGAGAAAAAAACCACCACATATTTATGAAAAAGCATTATATCTCTCTCCGTTAATTTGATGAATGTTTCGAAGATAGCAAGGTATCATAACATGCTTTCGTTTAACTAACTTAGCTTATCTGAAAAAAACACACTAAAAATCTCGGTCTTTATTCCTTAAATATAGTTGATATTGTGTAACGTTTGTTATAACACATAGGTGTAGCCAGGGGGTGCGATGGGTGAATGATCGCACCCCCCTCCATAACCAATAAAGAAAGAAGAAGAAAGGACCTTTGAATGCCTTGTACTTGAATCTCCCCCCCACTGAAAACCGAATTATTTTGACGATCGCACCCCTTGACTGAAAGCTGGCTACGCCCCTGTAACATGTATTCCATTGATACAGCTATAAAATAAAAGAAGACATGACTGTTTTGGCATTTTGAAAATAATACTTTTGTTTCCTTTCACTGTATGATGTGTCCTTTTCAGCGTTTGGCGGTTGGTGTTCTGCTAGGTATAGATTGAATCAGGGTTTAATTTTGCAAGGGAATCTCGAAACAGGCGCTAAATTGTGTATAAGCACAATTACCTTTATTTTACAACAAAGAGTATATTCTTTGGGGGGGGGGGCGGTTGAATAATGTGTTTTATCAGAGAGTTTGTTCCAAATATTGAGTTTGGTTTAAAGAGAAATATCCCGGGAGAAGTATGAGGGTCCCGGTATCATTTTCAATGACAATGGATTATTCTTTAAGAGCTTTTATTTTATAATCCACATAACACGAACTTGTGATTAAACTAATGATCAAAGGATGGCTTTTTGCATCATTGTTAAATCGGGGTAAAGTTTGACAATGCCCACGTTTGGGTAATTCATTCTAACCAAATCTGTAATCTGTTCAATTCTATAAAACAATTATATTTCAAAATTCTGCCAAGCTATATAACTACATGTATGTAATTACATGTATGAACTCCAGGCTATGAACTACATGCATTTAGTTAGATCAGAGAGTTTCAAAAATAATGATCCCATCAAATAAGCTGATCAATAGAATTAGGATTTAATCTCTTACATGTAATCATCAGTGTTGATAAATATGATGTGTAATCAGAAAGAAGGAATCTGTTTTTAGATTAATGATCGAGTGTTTTGGTACCTTGATTCAAAGCTCTTTTGACCTTATAATTTTCCAGTGGTTTTAAAGTTCAGTACATATACCGTAGTTCCTAGACTTTCTCATTTCTTTTTTTACATTTCACGATTTTTTATGACTTTTACCCGAAAATGATGATCTATCATCCAATTAAAAAAATAAGGTAGAAGTTAAGATCGATTATCAACCGTCCCTAGTGGAAATTTTCATTTGCCATACATACAATTCCTCGGAATTTTAACTTCGTTCATATATGGGCGCTTATTATGTACCCCGAGTTAGATCCTAGAAGTAGCGAATAATGTAAATTGATTAATACACTGTATAGGCAGGGGAGTAGCAAGCTTTCAGTCTGTGGTGCTATTTTCTTCCTCTATCTCATGGTTCTATTTTTATTGGTTATTGGCGATCGCACACCGCTCCCCCCTAGCTACGCCTATGCATCTATTGAATGTCCATGGCCTATGTACATGTAATGACTTTTCAAGGGAACGTGTCTCTTGGGCCTTTTAGATAATGCCTCGTGTCCCACTTTTGGCGGGTTTGAACATGCGATGATTTTGTTATAGACGATACCTAGTATATGATTACTCTTTGCAGATATTCAGATTAAAATGTTTTTCCTAGTCTCTTATTTATGTATGTCAAACTATGTAGAATACGTGTGTGTTACAGATAATAGTATACGCATTTGACTATCTAGCTTTTGGTGTTTATTCTCAACCTGCAACCTGGCATGATTTATTTGGAAAGACATTGTTACATTCGCAAAGGAATTGGCAAAGAAATCCCCGGAATATATAGAATTCTGATATGATAACAATTCCGTGTTATGTATTGGTTATTTTAATAAAAGGCACAGCATATTTTGTAACCAAGACTCATTAATCTATGTTTTATTTAGAAAATAGTATATCAATCAGCAGTGTTCTTTCATGACTCGACGCTTCCATGAATAGAGTAACGTTGAACTGAGATTTTTTAAAATTCTATATGGACATAGTAGTCCATTTGTCATTTTCTTAACGTATGAATATTTAAAAACATGATGTTTTCCTGTGGAAAAAATTAACGTTTGGGAATTTTTTTGTATCTATCACCATGGTAACATACCAGGTACATGGTGGTATCCCGAAGCTAAGTCAATAATCAACGCCAAATGCACCCCTCCCTAATCAGCCGATATACTTTTTTCCCCAAACTAACTTTTTGTCCAACCCAGTTAAATCACTTCAGAAAACCCTTGTTATTATAAATTAACCATAAGACATCGTGTTTTTAACAATTCATAGGTTCACTATAGTATGTATAGGGGTGACAAATGGACTATAGTTATTTTTTACTATTGGACTGTTGTGGATGTCACAGTGCCTCCCATCTACACCCCGCTAATTACAGGTATACACTTTTCACTCATAACATCTT